TCAGGACAATAGCACTTCATTAAAGGATAATTTTGAGGATTAATTGAATGATTTTGTCAATAAATAATGGAGGACGCAAATCTCTCTGTATAATCCACATATGTCTATATATTAAGGTGTAGGTCACCATAGTAGTGACTGTCAGGAGGGAGTGAAAGTTGCCTGAGGATCAGTAGAAATAATAAATCAAGACAGAGAAATCAAAATAATAGGTTATCAGGGCCATGTTAATATATATCATGTATGTGTGTATGTATTGCTAGGTGCATCCAATGTGGTAAGCGCTCACATTCATTTTAGATGCATTATAATTTAGTGGTTAAGTGCATGGCTCCTAGAGTCATTCTGCCTGGTTACATACTTACCAGTTGTGCAGCCTTGAGCAAGCTACTTAACCTCTCCATGCCTTAGTTTTCTCTCCTGTAAAATGGAGATAATAGTACTTACTTCAAAGGATTTCTGTGAGGATTATTGAGTTAATCCACGTTGATATGTAGAATAGTGTCTGGTACCTACTGAGCACTCAACAGATGTTAACTACTGCAGCCGTGCTCTGCATGACCACATTATGGTCAACCACGGGCTGCATATACTTGGACCCATAAGATTATAATGGAGCTAAATTTTCTGTAGGAAATAAAAGGATATGTGGTTGAGGAGGAAGTTTTTTTCTCTCTGACAGGATCAGTATCGGTGGGGCAGGGCAACAGGTTCCCTGTCACTCACAGCACCTCAGTTGTGAGTACACAGATGACATTCCAATCAGTAGCCACTGACCTGTGCAGCACAGAGGAGCCCGACCCCCCAGGGCTACACATTCAGAGGGCACTTCAGCCCTCCCAGATCTAACTTGATGGTCTTGAGAGCACATTGCTGTAAATTCTTTGTTAGGGACCTAAGACCCTGTGCAAGGACACAGGTCCACAGGAGTAACCTTAGAAAGTACGAAGTGCCACTGCCACTTTAGTAAAAGCTTCCTGTGGTCGTGTGGGGCCAGCCTGTCCTGTACTTTGGAAATGTTTTCAGGTTGTAATGACATAAAACATAGATAAGTTTTATTTCTTGCATCAATTCAATGCCCCAGAGAGCCTTTGTGCCAGAGAAGGCCAATGAAATCAAAATCAAATTTCCAAAGTCAGAATACTGAGGCCTCCGTTTTTTACCCTCTCCTTGTTAAACACCCTAGGTTTTTTGTTTGTTTTTGTTTTTTAGTTTTTATGAATACCACAAATTTCTTTAATCTGACCACTGCTCCAACATGCAATAGCCAAAACCACATGGCCCTGATAACCTATTATTTTGATTTCTCTGTCTTGATTTATTATTTCTACTGATCCTCAGGCAACTTTCACTCCCTCCTGACAGTCACTACTATGGTGACCTACACCTTACCCAGCCGTTTCTCTTCAAAATTTCCATTCAATACAGCCCACAGCCCTGCTCATGGAGCAGCCTTGACAGCTTCAATGTTCTATTTCTGACCCTGTCAAAAGGAAGCAAGGGGAGGGCTTGTGGGGCAGTGTTTATAGTGTCCAGTAGTGTCCTAGGCCTTCACGTTCACTCACCACTTAGTTACTCACCCAGAGCAACTTCCAGTCCTGCAAGCTCCATTCATGGTAAGTTCCCTATACGGGTGTACCATTTAAAAAGTCTTTTATGCTGTATTTTTACTGAGTTTTTCTGTGCTTAGATATGTTTAGATACACAAATACCACTGTGTTATAATTACCTACCTTATTCAGTACAGTAACATATTGTACAGGTTTATAACCTAGGAGCAATAGGCTATATCACGTAGCCCAGGCTATCCCATCTAGGTTTGTGTAAGTGCACCCTATAATGTTTGCACAACGATGAAATTGCCTAAGGGCACATTTCTCAGAACGTGTCTCCATCATTAAATGACATATAACTGTATTATTCTATCATCTAACTTAATCTATGCATTTCTCAGGGAGTTCCTGGCACATTGGTGCTCCATAAATTCTAATTTTCCTTTCTGGACCCTCCACAAAGTCAGCGTGAGCTGCCTTTTTATTACAGTTCTCCATGCTCCCCAGTGAGCTGCAGCTTTAACAGTCTTGGCCTAGCTGTACTATCCAGAGGAGTGGTTGCCCTCCCACATGAGGCCAATGGCAGAGATGAAGCAAAGGAGGAGGGTGGGTACAAGAATACTGTAGAAATGGAATTCATGAGGACTGGCATTTAATTAGATGAAAAGGTATAAGGAAGAACGGGAATTAAAAATGGCCTTGAAGCTTCTCACCTGGGTGACTTCATGATGGTGGTGACATTTCCCAAACAGGGAACAATGGTTAAGGGGCAGATCTGATAGAGATTATGGAAGAAACTAAACTTTGTTGTGTTATCTTAACTTGGAGGTTCTGGTGGAGTAAACAAATGGAGTTATCTAGCAGAAAGCTGAAAATAAAAGCTGGATTTCAAGAAATGTGGGTACTTTCAGTGCTGATGGAGGCAACTGACACCATGGAAGCTGATATGATTTGTTGGGGAGAACTTCACTTAAGCAGAAAAGAAGGCTGATGGCTGTGGACACCTTTTGAATATTTCCATCTTTCTGTCCTGTGAGAGTCACAGATTCAGCATGTCCAAAGTGGCATTAATCATCTTCCCACAAAACCTTTTTCTTTTCTTGTCTTCTCTAGCTGTGCAAATGCCACTCTCTTAGTCACTCTGGCTCGAAAGCTCAGTCATCTATATCTCCTCCTTTAATTATTTTCATAATAAGTTTCCCCTATAAAAAATTTTGAACATCCATAAAGATCATAGATATAGTCATTTATAATGGAATTATTTTGGATGGTTTGTAGTATATCATTCTGGTCATATTTCTATGCAAATATAGATTTAATTTCCTTTATACATGATTAGAGTCATACTCTACATTTTTAGAGTAATGTCATGTAGAAATGTACACAATCAGAAATTGACAACTTTTCATGTTATTAAATATTCTCCCACAACAATTTTAAAATGCTCACAGGTATTCCATTCCATAGATGTACCATAATTTAGATAACTAACCACTGTTGTAGGGTTTCTGGTTTTTTTCTAGTCTTATCATCTCTCCTTCCACAATGCTGCAAAGATGAATTTACCTGTATTTAATATTTTTGTGCCCATTTCCAATTTTTCCTTTAAATAAAATTCCGAGAATTTCTGTGTCAACAGGCATGTACATTTTGAAAAATAACCTCTTAATTGTAGAATTGTTTTAGGTTTACATAAAATTACAGAGGCACTACAAACCATTCCTATATACCCCATACCCAGTTTCCCCTATTAACATCTCTAGCTGTGTAAATTAGCACAGCACATTTGTCACAATTAATGAACCAATATTGAGATATTATTATTAACTAAAGCCCATACTTTATCCAGATTTCTTTACTTTTTACCTAATGTCCTTTTTGCTGTTCTAGTATCCCACTGAGGATACCGCATTATATTAAGTTGTCCTGTTGCCTTCGGCTCCTCTTGGCTGTGACAGTTTCTTAGACTGTCCTTGTCTTTGATGACCTTGGTGATTTTGAGGAATACTGGTCAGGCATTCTGTAGAATGTTCCTCAACCGGAGTTTGTCTGATTTTCTTTGATCAGACTGGGGTTGTGGGTTTGGGCAGGAAAGAGATAAAACACTACTCTCATCATATCTAGTCCACAGACTGTCAACATGATTTATCACTGTTGATGTTAACCTTGATCACCTGGCTGAGGAAGTGTTTCTCTAGTTTCTCTACTATAAAGTTACTCATTTCACTCCTTACTGTACTCTTTGGAAGTCACCGTGCCCAGCCCACATTTAAGGAGTGGGGAGTTACACTTCAGGGTGGAGTATCTACAGAAATTATTTGCAACTCTTCTGCACTAGACAGTGAACTGTTCTTTCCATTTATTAATTTATTCATATCAGTATTCACATCATTATCTTGTATCAGTATGAACTCATAGATATTTCTTTTATTCTAGAGTTATAATGCAGTAGTACTTTACTTGTTTTGTTGCTCAAGGCATGTGTATTTTTTTAATACCCTGAGTAATTCACTGCAAAGCTACCCTGCCAAGGCTCTACCAACTCAAGTGGTTGAAATGAGGATCTGTTTCCCCTCAACTTCACACACCCTTTATAAAAGCAGGTCAGCAAGCAGGGACCAGGCCTATGCCCCTCCCTAGCGCCCAATTTCCCGGCGAGAATAAAGCCAGCAAGGGGGCGCCCTTTCCCA